ATCGAGTTAAGATTGTTTTTGAATGTCGCAGGAATTGAAAAACTAAACCTTTTCCATTATGACAGAAAATCTGACTTGAGTATGATTGTTGATGACTATTTGTAGATAATCATTTAAAGCAAGTAATATGATTTCTATTTTAATTTCAAATTCAAATTCATAGTGACAAATTAAGCAATCAAAATTAGCAGTAGCAAGCATTTAAATGGTGAGAACTTGTGCTTATGCTGAAATATTCTGAGGGTAATAAAAAGTAAATAATTTGAAAGTGAAATTTTTGATTTCATTACATCTTGAAATAAATTTGATTACGGTAAAGTAAAATGAAATTTAAAAAGTGGAAACTTCGTCATCGTATGATGCAAAAAAAAAAAAAAAAACATTAATTACTCTTTATGGTCCTTATATATACAACATCCCACGAATGCCTTCCAGTTTTGTTGTATTTTTCATTTATCACCTATCATCAAGCCATTTTGTTCCATTTATCCATGGATCAAACTGACAATAAATTTCATTTCTAGTCAGCCTTTTTATGGTCTAACATAACATATTCGGAATCATTGTCGGATAATTTCTCAGACCAGACATTTGAAAATGATAATTTAAAAGTTGAGCTAAGTATTGATTTTTTAATGAATACTTTGAACATTTGAATTAGTAGATTTGATGAATTCAATTGTTCAAAACATTTATTTTCTGTGATTCGCTAATAAAAATTAGAGTTATCTTCTGCCTGATTAACTGCTACGAGTTACTTCATTCATAAGTTATTCATACACACTCAAAGATAATGAATAATTAATTCATTTGAATTTAATTAAAGAAATAACTTTTCAAACTTTTCATTTGCAAAAATGAAAGGAAAGTTTAATGAAGCTATTTCAGTGGTCACTTTGCTTGCTTGCTTGCTTACTTTTATCTGACTGTTTTAAAAGTGAAAGAATGAAACAAGCACTGCAACATTGATGCAGAATTTATAACTTTCACATACTAATCATGTCATATCGGTGCATAATAATTGATCATGAATTTACTTTCTCGTCTTCTCTCCCCTCCCTCTCTCTCTTTTTCTCTTTCTCTCCTTTTCTCTTCATTTACAAAAAGGAGGGAAAGAAAGAATTTAGAAAACAAACGTAATTTGTAAAATTTGGATGCATCATTCTTTCTAAATTTTTTCATGATCAAAATAGAACATTCAGTGTAATTCCAAAACAACGAAGAAATTTCGCTGCACGTATTTAAGAATGAAATTTTTATTTTTAAATTTAAATTTCATAAATTAAAATTTTACCATAACATCACGAAAAAAAAATTAAAAGATCGAAATTTTTTGCAAATTTAACATCAATCATTTTGTCAAGTTATAATTAATAATTCAATTAAAAGTGAATAGCTAACAGATGAAACTCACCTAGCTACCATTTTATTATTCATATAAAGCAATTAAAGATATTAAAATGAATTGGAAAATTTTTTCAGATAAAGAATAATTTTATATAGAATGAATGAAAATAAATGAGGCTTATTTTCAATAATGAATAAAAATTTACAAAATGTAATAAAATAAAGCATTTCACTGAAAATGTTCATTTAATAGGAAAAAAGAGAGAGAGAAAAATAAATCCCTTATTTTTTTTTCCCACTGAAAATCAATCAGCATCATACATCACCTGATATCCTGCATATCAGATAAACGGAAGTGATCTTTAGATTAGTTTCCGTGAAGATGGCGTAAGAGATAGAATGTTAGGAACAGATGCATCTTAGCATTACATTGAATATTTCGATAATTACCAGAATTCTTTTGACCATATGTGTACTGATAACAATAAATACAAATAAATAGCACATTTGAATTTTTTAACAGTATTACCAGGAAAGGTAATTCTCTTGATTTCTCTCTCTCTCTCTCTCTCTCTTTCTCTCTTTCTCTTTCTCTTTCTCCCTTTCTTTTCTATTGCATATTTGCAACTAACATTTCGTTTTTTTGTTTATAAGATAATTAATTCTTAAAAGTTTTAAAGATTCAATTGCTTCCGCTTTTGTGTCTTTCAAGTAAGCAAATTCTTTCATAAAATCTTATTCATTTTTTCAGAATTGACACAATTTCTCACCGTATTTCATTTTTGCATATCAAAAGAAATATGCTATTCGTTTCATTCATTCCTTACTTTTCCCATTAAATTTTTTTTCATTAATTTGAAAAATATTTCATTAGTTAATTCAGTATTTCTAATTCAGTTTTTCCACCGCTTTCGTCACTTTTTTTTTCCCCTGGAAGTGCAATACTTTTGAGAAAAAGCATTATTGCTTTTTAACTTTATGATTTGAATGTTGACCTTGGTATTAACATTCAGGGAATGAATTTCAAAAGAAAAAAAAAATCTATAATTACGCCCAGAAAAAAAAAATGAAACGTGAAATAGCTGTATGATAAGAAGTGTATAATTTTTGGTGACCTGTAATCAATTATATCACTAAGAGCGATTCATTAAAATTTTACTGACATGGACGTAAAAAGATCATATCCGAATTGATTTATATGATAGAAATCTGCAGCTCACTTTAACACAAGTAATACTTCTGCGCAAATTTCATCAATTAATTTGTGCTTTTCTTCAAAAATTTCAATTTCAATATTTTAAATTATTATTAAAGTTATTACTAAAAATTCTACTGGAAAAAAATTTTAATTTTTGAAGAAAATGCCATTGACTTAAAAAAACCTGTTTCATTAATTGAAATTATCATTGGAAATTCTAAATAATGCATCAAACATCATGCCATGTAATTTTTGCATTTCTTTATTCTTTTCTACCAACATAGAAATCGGCAAATTACAAAGGAAAATGACAAATACATTTCCAATTCTTTTTCATTTTTTTCCGTTTCTTACTTATATATTCTCAAATTGGGTAATCTTTTGATGTTGCTTATTAAGCCAAAAATGAAATCATTTTTTAATGCTTATCACTGATAAAATTCGATAAAATTCCAGCAACAATAACACTTCTTACAGTATATCTTACAATTTATTATTTTGATCTTAATTAAACCAGAAATTAAGAAATACATACACGAATTTAAGCCTAGAAATTAATAAATAATATAATAAATATATGAAACTATAACCTTTAAGTTGCAGTGTAATTTATTCATTACCAATTTCTATTTCATTTCACGTTTTGGTCTGATTCATTTTTTTTTTTTAATTTTTGACTTACATGTTGAGCAATATTTGCTAAATTAATGTCATTTGAATCATTTAAGCTTAAAAAGTTGGTAGAACAGATTGATGAGTGTCGCTGTGGTTAAATTGAAATGAAAAAGAAAAAGATGTGCAGTGAAATTTATCTTCCAGCAATATTCTTGCAATAACTATTATTAATTATTATTGTTTAATTATTATTAATTAATTAATTAATTATTACAATTGTTATTAGTAAAATGATGAAGAGGATGTAAGAAAAATGTTTCCTATGTTTCTTTTACAAAATTTGTGATGTTTTGTGCTTTTCATATTGTTAAAAAGATATCTACTAATAATAATTCATTGAAATATTTTTCATTTTAAAATACAATTGAAATGTTCAATATTTCTGATCAGTTTCAGTTTTTCCGGGTAACGGATAACCTTTACCCCACAGCAATATTCTAATCGTGCAAGAAATGAGCTTTCTGATTGCAATAAACTAGAAAAGTTATTAAGATTGCAAAACAATAATTGCTTTTTGTACATGCATTGTAATCAGTTAATGAAATGAAAGTAAATGATATCGTAATCATTCGTGCAGATAAGTTACCATCAGTTTTCATGAGAAAGAGAACATTGTTTTGATAATCAAAAATGAATAATGTTAAGGAACCAAGCACAATTACTTATAATAATAAACTTACTGCACTGTACTTTTAAGGCATTACTAAATTCATGATAAAATTGAATAAATTTGATAAAATTGCTACTGCTCTCAACATTTTCGAAGTTGTATGAATGAATTTGTGTGAAAAATTTCAATTCAATGCAATTAAAATAGTAAAATTTTATAGATAAAATATCATGTTAGCAATTTTTCTAATATTAAACCTTTATGCATCTTATTATTTGTGATTAAATTAAAGATTTTCAAAAGAGTTTAAGAGAGAATAACAATTTCTTTGAAATACAAAATAGACTTGCATATTATTACATCATTTCCGTATTCATTCTTTTCAATAAAAATGAATGGTTCATGAATTGCAGTATTTAAATAATTAGCTGCGGAGGTGTAATTCTTTTCAATGTCTCGCCATTTTTTTTTTTTTGCTTCTTATTGTTTACGACAATCACACCTTTTCATTCCCGCGCTATTAACTGAGCTTCATAGCCAGATTTTTTAAGAAGGAGAAATGAGGAGGAGGAGGAGGAGGAGAAGGAGGAGGAAGAGGATTGGGGAGGAGGAGCATGAAGGAAGAGGAGGATCGGGGAGGAGGAGGAGGGGGAGGAGGAGGATGGAATTTATTGTTGGGCCGCCCCTTTCTGCATCTATTTAAGGTATATTTCCAGTAGTATATTTTGTTTAAGGGTGACGGAAGAGGGGTTTTGACCAACTCGTCGAAAGCCCAGTCTTCCTAATTTGCAATCTGTTATTCGGTGCCAGTTAGGAAGGTATACTTTAAAAGTAACCATCTTGTATTCAAATATCCCTCAAGATATTGCATTTATTTTCCCCTCTTCCCCTCCCACCGGTTCACCATTACGAGCTATTAGAGTTTACCTACCTATCGTCAGTAAATCGTCGCTAATTTCCAAAATTCTATCATTCCTGAAAGCGGAATTTACCATCAGAAATTGGAAATAATACAAGAACAATAACAAGTATCTGTGATAAACGTTTTTTTTGGATACAATTTATTAAGCGAAATATTAACTATATTTTTTTTTTAAAAAAAAAAAGTTCTTATTTTGAATTATTAATAAAATTGTCAACATTTGGTTACTAGCAAATAATTCGAAAAATATGATGTGGTTCAAAACAAACATTATTTTGGCCATATATCTTATTGTTGGCCTAAATGCTAAAGAAGTAAATGCTAACATAGAAAAATATATGGAAGATGGATATTTAAACATCAAAGATTTGAAAACGAGGCGCATTATAAAGGAAATAAATGCGGAACGAATGCGCCATAATCAATGCCATCATCGAAATGGTGACAGTATTTTGGATGAGAAATGGATTGTTGACACGAATGATGTACAAAATTTGGGTCGTATCGCAATGCTACTAAAAACGAAAGAAACTTTTGATCAAACGTTAATTCCTGCACCATCCAAGAAAGCAAGCACAAGTCGACTTTGTGGTACAAAATTAGTGGATGCAATCATCAAACTGTGCAATGGTTGTGTGAAACCTGTTGGTAGTAAAGCTGTTAGCATTAAACGATGTAAGTTAGTTAAAATTTTGTTTCATTTATTCCTCTCTTTCTGCAATCTCAATATTATTTAATAAATTTTAATAATTTCTATTCATAATAGATTTAATTTAAA